GAGAGAGAGAGAGAGAGAGAGAGAGAGTGACAAGAGCTATATTCAGAGCTCTGCTGCCTTGGATACAATCTTCCATCGTTGCTGTTGTATGATTGGTGTTTAGCTACGGTATTTAGCGTCTACAGCACCTCCGCTTTTGGGGTTGACGTAGACCCAAACGTCGCCCGGAAATCCCCCGGTGTTGTTGCGGGAGCTGCTGCACTAGCTAACGCTCCACTAGCTAACGCTACATTAGCAAAACAAACGCTAATTTATTTTGCAAAAGGTGCAGCGGGCTTCAAACACGTTCCCCTCCACTGGTTTCGACCAAGCACTAAATTCGATGTTTTCCAACCAAATACGGTTTAACTTACACTTCCCCATATTAATTTGTAAGTAGATTCGAAGATACATCAGTTTCTGACTGCCGCTAGCTGAAGCTTGGTTGCTAGGTTACTAGCTGGGTGTTCTCCAATAAGGGGCCGGGGGAAACAAAGTTAGTGATTACTGGTTCCATGTTGATACAAATTGTTGGGGGGAACTGAAAGGCTATTACCGTACTGATTACTTTGCACCCCGGACATTTCCCCCAAAACACATTTAGACGCTATCACAACACAGAAGTACCTTTCAAATCTGATCATTTTTAAGACCTTCTAAATCATATTTAAGACCTTTCTTATTTTTTTGGTCATATTTAAGACCTTTTTAAGGCCTTAAATTCAGATTATTAAATTTAAGACTTTTTAAGACCCCGTGGGAACTCTGTATATAATTGTGGGTGTATGTTTATGTGCATATTACGTGTACTATAATAATACATTATTATTAGTTGTAGTAAAACTGTATTGCTAATGATTTGCGAACGCTACTGTAATTGTTTGTATGTACACATTTTCATGTGCTCTGTTCAGCATAATTACTAAATGAATAAAATTAAGAAAAAACAACAACGCTCCCTGATCATTCAAATGTAAATTCCTTAAGAAAAGCTTTTCCCATAAATATCTTAACCCCTACAGTGTGAAGGCCATTACCTGCCAGCTCTGTCGTTCAGGCTCTGCCTTCACATCGGGCCCCGGAGCAGGTCCCTGGGGGGGCGGTGGTGACCCCAGGTGCAGAGAGGTGGCAGTCCAGATCAGCTGAAGCAGGAGGGGCATCCCCGCATCGTCACTCAAATGAATCTGCACACATAGGCAATTACAAAAACATTTCAGCAGACGTTTTACTCACAAAACCTCGGCCATAACCTGCAGAAACGTGAATCGACATTTCCCCTCCACAGATAACTTACCCCATCTTTGGCCCACAGGTCATGGCAGTTTGAAGGAAAGTGATTATGAATGGAAAAGTATTGCAGACCTTCAAAAAAATGTACATAGAAACGTCAGAGCATCTTATTATTTATTAATTAAAAAACATATTGTATAAAACCCCTTGTTGTTGTTGCTACTTTCCTTTCATTATTCTGAAATGGACCAATCTGCACAATGACTACTTTAAATATATTTTGATGATATTACTTTACTTTTTTTTTTTTAAATGCAGTATTTTTACTTGTTACAGAGTATTCCTACACTCTGGTACTTCTACTGTTATCTAAGTACAAGATCTGAGTACTTTTTCCACATCTGCATGTTTCTTTACTTGCCTAAATGTACCGCCAAGTTAGGCGCAGACTATAATGTTCATTCGATTTTGTGTGTTTATTTATGTGAGTAAATTACCAAAACAGCTCGGCAGCGGCTCCAAGAGAGGATACTGACCTTCTACAGGTGCACCATAGAGAGCATCCTGACCTTCTACAGGTGCACCATAGAGAGCATCCTGACCTTCTACAGGTGCTCCATAGAGAGCATCCTGACCTTCTACAGGTGCTCCATAGAGAGCATCCTGACCTTCTACAGGTGCTCCATAGAGAGCATCACGGCCTGGTACGGCAGCTGCTCCACCCTCAATCGTAAGGCTTTACAGAGGGTGGTGAAAACTGCACAGCACATCATCAGGACGGAGCTGCCATCCATGGAGGACCTTTACTCCCAGCGGCTCAGGAAGAAAGCCCTCAGGATTATAAAGACCCCCATCACCCCAGCCACAAACTGTTCTGTCTGCTGCCGTCTGGCAGGCGGTACCGCAGCATCCGGACTAAAACCACCAGACTCAGGGACAGTTTCATCCCACAGGCCATAAGACTGTTAAACACCTGAACCTTTTCAATAAACAATTGATCTGTTTGCATCTTGCTAATTATTTATCCAATATATCATATTGCATTTACTTGCATATGGACTCTTATTGCACTATTTCTATTTGATTTGTATTTACTTGCACATCTCAAAACATTGGTTTTATCCGTTGTATGTCCTTTATATATTCATGTTGCATTGTTGGAGGAGCCTGTGACTTAAGTTTCTCCTTGCCATATCTACACTGTAGCTAATGTGCAGATGATGATAAAGCCTTGAATCTTGAATAACAAATCTTACATGTCCAGCGCTATGATGTGTCGGCTTTTGGCCCATAGAGGGCAGCATAGGCCAGCTAATTGTGCCTTTCTTTATATATCAGATTTATTGTGTGTATTGCTACTTGCCATCCCATTACTATACATGTATATAGATGTTTTACTTTGTCTTTGCATTTCAGATACAACACACAACTTTTCACTGTTCAATTTTATAACCTGAAAAGTCAATGAAGTTTGTACATGTTGGAACAGACGTTCTTCAGCATCCGTCAGTCACACACACCGTGTCCTCAACATATATAATGACTGTTGTGGAAAGAACACAATTGATCTGTTTCATAAAAATAAATAAACCTTTATATATAGTTTAATGTACTGAAAATAAATCATAATACATACCCATCCTGGCAGCTACAAGGCGAAACTCCTGCCGCAAGGCATTCTGGTCTTCTGCTGCAATGTCCAGACGTGGAGGGAAGTCCACGACAAGCACCTTTACAAAAGGACAATTAATATTGTAACACTCTCAATATTAAATGTCATTCACATTGAAAACATGAACAACATGCTTACGTTGGGGCAGCTGAGCAGGACTCTGGTCAGGAGAGAGACAAAATCGGCACCAGCCGCTCCGGGGGTCCGGCTCTTTCCCAAGTTAATGCCGGGGGCCAGAACACAGACTGCATCGGGGGTCGAAGGCAGAACAGCTCCCTCAAACTCGCTCTTCAGAACCTGTGCGCCCCCCCCTGGTGTCGCCATGAGTCCGAAGGAAAGTCCCCCCCGAGGCATCTCCACAAATCCATCCACGACGGATCTGAGATGAGAGTCTCCAACCAGCAGCACAAACTGAAAAACATACCATTTATTTTGTTGATGAAAACACAACGTTTCTACAAACAATGTTTTATTTATTGGGCCTTCATATTTCAGATGTATTTGATATATTAATTATGTCCATAGTTATCACGCAATTAATCGCAAATGAATAAACAACAAATGTTATTATACTTATACTAGCTGATTACATTCATTTTATGATTCACTACATTTGTCTGACAGATTTGAAAGATTCAGATTAGTTGCTAATACAAAATATAAATCAACTAATAAAAAAAACATGTACATGTAAGTATTGGTTAAGACATCCAGCAGCAGTATATCAAGTTATTCAAATTATTGACACCTTTACCAGCTGTGATGAACATATTAATACTTCAATAATCAAAATCCAGTTATTTAACATATATGATTCTGAAATGAGGCATCACAGAAAACGATTACTTCTGTTACTTTGAGTACGTTTTGATGCCAATACTTTGGTAATTTAAATTAAGTGAAACACAGGAAGTTGAGTAGAGTGCGGTTTTACCTTTTCCCCTGGATATCTGTCAGGAATGACCAACTGGTGGGGATGATCAGTCAAGGAGGATGTCGGCCATGTCCGCGCTTCATGACGGTAACCTGTACCGTAGCCTTCATTATCGGAAGAAAGAACATTTATGGAATGGAGAAAATAACCATGAGAATCAGAAAACAATTTCATTCTGTTGATGAAAGATTGGAAGAATGGGTCAATTATAGAACACAAAACATTGATAATGACCAGGTGGAAAGATCTGTCAATGAATGCAAGCCTGAGTGTGAATGTCTCATTTATTTAGGTAGCTATCTGTGTTTATTTGGTTACAGTATGTATGCCTTGTAATTCAATAATTTCTTAAAATGCAAATAAAAAATAAAAAATTTAAATAAAAATCGTAAAAAGACATCAATGTAAAATTACAGTTAACAGGAATTGTGCAAACAAATCAGAAGGAACACGTTTCTGTTTACATACATGTTGAACTGGCAGCTGGTTGGGCCTTTTGTACGGCCCAATTCTTCTTAGCAGCCTGAGATCGACGGTACGATTTAAGTCTTGGCATCTTAAGGAATTACCAGAAGAATTATTAAATCAGACACGCATTACAAAATACATTTAGCCAACAATAATTGGATGTTGATATCACTGCTATTATAACAATAAAGGCTTGAAAACTATACATACAAATGAAAAGAGACAACAAAATGTGAAATGTTCAACTGGTGGAGAGAATAACAAAACATATGAAAGGTGTGATTGTATATCAGGTTTATTCCCACAATTATAAAAAGTTATAAAACCAAATATTCCCTCCTGAACTCTACCTTAATTAAAATATTGACTAATATGAAATCATTTTTATTTTATTTTAAATCGTTGAAAAAACTGAAAACCCACTGGCGAGCCGTCAAGGCCCTCTAGGGCAGAGGTTCTCAATTGTTTTTCAGCCAAGGACCCCTTACAAGATAGAGAATACACCAAGGACCCCCTCATTCTGATTTGTGATTTTGGGCTATATAAATAAAAATTGACTTGACTTGACATGTATGTCCCTTGGAATAATCTGACGTAGCCTATTTTTTACACTTATATAGTCTTAGTTATGTGAAAGAACAACACAAGAGCAATGTATTAGAAAGATATTAGATATGTATTAAAAATATTTGCACCATCTCAACAAAGAATACCCTTAAAACAATCAATCAATTAGCTGCAAGTAACACTGTACCTAAACAAAATATCAAAGGGAAATCAAGAGAAAAGTGATCATTTGAAGTGCATTTCAGAACACACACACACACACACACACACACACACACACACACACACACACACACACACACACACACACACACACACACACACACACACACACACACACACACACACACACACACACACACACAC